CTTTTCTCTGTGCGTCCGTCTTCAGCGTCTCTGGCCTGTGTTAATGTCTGCATTTACAGACTTAATATTTTCACATAAATGACATTTGGAAAATGATATGCATTGCAACGCAGTTTGTGCAAGTCCAGAACAGAGATCGGCTGCAATAAAACAATAAACGGCCGGTTGCCGATCGCGTAAGTTCCAGAAGAAGCTCCTTCGGCCATCCTACACACACGTGACTGACCGCTCGCTCGCACCAACAGGAGGAGGAGGGGCATGTTACTCTCTACACTGCACTAAACCTGAGGGATTCCTACACTTTCAGTCTTTGAGGAGACATGAAAAACAGCGCATACCGCAGGAACGGTATAACGGAAAATATTAGCGGTTTTGAAACCGTGAAATTTTCAAATCGTGGTATACCTTGAAACCGATAAATGCCTAATTGTTTGCAGTAAATATACATGGATTGACACGAAAATGTAGTTATTACACCATAAATGCATATTATTAAAGTCTACTGTGTTTCACAGTCAACACATATGGCTTGTAGGAAAACAAAGTTCTTTATGAACTTCAGGATTGCTTGTAATAAAGATTTAAATGCAAAAGGAAAGGCAGTAGAGCTGACTATTTCTATCAATGGTAAGTTTATGGTAATGTAAGAAATGTAGTTTAAATATTTTGCCACTTGCTTGAGCATTAAAAGATCGGTATCGGCAGATACTGCTTTCTGTGATCGGCCACAAAAATCCTGATCTGAGCACCCCGCTTTGACATTGAGGCATACATTTCGCAAAATGTGTTATTTATAAAATTAAACAATATGAAACTCATGTGTCTCTGTTCTCTAGGGGAGAGAGGCATTATTTGACAGCAGGGATCTCATCACAGACCCGCAGACGTTGTGCCGGCCTCCTGCCATTTATCATGATCACTTGTTTCTCTGTATATGAGTCCAAATCGACTCACACAGAATGACAGTTTGACAATCGACTTCCTTCTCTCAGACGTCCATTAATACAGAAGCAGCAGCAGGTTTGTGTGGCAGATAAACAGAGCAGGAGGAGGTGAGACGCATCCAGTGGCACTCACATTATCAGTGATCTGCCATTAGGGGTCGCTAGAGAGTGAAGTCCAGAGACAGTATCTTTTCTCACTCATGGCACTGAAGTGAAAATGAAATGATATATAGTAGCCAAAAAGTATTTGGACAATTAGGTCACAGCTAAAAACATCTGAATGTCACTGCATTAGATACTAAAACATCAATCAAGTCTCAGTATCTCTGCTCAAATGCAACGGGATCTTTTCTTAAAGCTGCCTTCACTTTTTTTTCCCACAGGTCTACTAATTTTTGACATCTACAAAATTGCACAACAACACATTTTTTGTCTTCATTTTCACAGGACTATATCTACTGTTTTATAATTTCAAACCAACAAACTGCTTTTTGTTTATTATTTTTTAATACGTTTTTAGAAACGTCTTTTTCTATAAGCACTTCAGGACTGAATGGTATTGAAACTCTCTTAACTCTCTCTCTTTCTCTCTATATCAATTTATATATATAATTCTCTATGTTTATGCTTATGTCTTATTTTTAGTGAATTGTAGAAGTGTGATTTCCAAACCTTGAAAAGTCATTGAAATGTTTATAATGAATATTAATTTTTAGTAGTTCATCAAGCTTTGAAATATTTTATTGTGCAGAAACTGCTATTTGCAAATAATTAACACAAACATATAAACTGATTGGTCATAGAAAGTGTGAACCCTGAAATACATTCAGTCTGGAATTTAACTATTTTAATTATAATTTTTTTGATGCAGTTATTGAATATTGTCTTGGACAATGGGGTCAAAAAGGGTGAAAAAGTGAAAGTGAAGTGACGTGTGGAATTTGTGCTCTGCATTTAACCCATCCAAGTGCACACTCACAGCCGTGAACACACACCCGGAGCAGTGGGCAGCCATATTGCTGCGGCACCTGGGGAGTAGTAGAATAAAGGGTCTCACCTCAGTCGTGGTATTGAAGGTGGAAGAGAGCGCTGGTTATTCACTCCCCCCACCAACAATTCCTGCCAGACCTGAGACTCGAACCCGCAACCTTCAGGTTACAGGTCCAACTCTATAACCATTAGGCCACGACCACCCCTATAACACCTGACACTCCATATGACAGAGAGTCAGCTAAATGCAATACATTTGGCAATAACCAATAGCGTTAAAATGGAAATCACATCTGTACAGGCCAATGAGCTGCAAGCACAGTATATAACACTGAAAACCAGAGGCTCTCAAACTTTCAGGCAAATCAACAAGTGTGATCAAACCAAAACATCCAACTACCACCTATTCATGATAATATTCCTTGTATTTTCAGCACTGAAATCATTACAAGCAGCACAAATACACATAACGGCATACTGTGGTTTGATTCAAATGAATATTCCTGTCAGTGAGATTAATCATGCTGCTGAAAAGACTCTTGACTGGCGTTTTGCAGGTCAAACATCAAAATAAGAAATTGTGCATATAGATGATCACAGACTTTGAAGATGCATATGGTATAATATCATGTCTTTTTGCACCTAAAACTATGCATACATTTTCTTATGGCATCAATGTATAGCTATGGGCTAAAGAATAAATATATAAGCCAGGCGTTTATAGTCTATAAGTCTCATATTATGTATGATTATATGCACCAGAGTATTCTGAACCTTATGGACCAATAATGAGTCTTTTAATGAATCCTTCAAAACACAATTTCATATCACCAGAGAGTACGTCAAAATGTGCCTCGTAGTTGTGTGAGATAAATCTATCCCATCAGTCCTGATCAATATAAATTTAGAGAGAATTTCACCACTTAAAAGGCAACTTTAAATTCCACAGTATAAATCTACACCAAAAAAAGCGTCTGGTTCAAAGTACCTGAGGTTCGATGACTTCTTTGGCTGACAGCTGATCGTCTCCATCACCGTCGGCTGCTTTATCTTCCTCTACATCTGAGCTCTTTTCTTCAGAACCGTCCTCTTCCTCCTCCTCATCATCACTGTCACTGCCTGATTCTTCAAGCCCAGAGAAGACGCTCTCTTCACTGTCCGACAGATCACCCTGATCTTCATCACCATCATCTAGATGACCATCTTTACCACCGTCCTTATCAAAGATGGGCAGCTGAGAAAGAAAGACCATCAGGAATGCATCAAAACAAACACAACACACTCATTACTGCATAATAAACACATAGGCTATTTAAAACAAATTCTGCTTTCACAATGCATTTCATACAAAAGCACAATTCATAGCATACTGTGTGTGCTAAAGTAAAATACCTTGGACATTTCATCACTGAACGCATGACAGACGATGAGGATATTGAAAGGCAACGCTGTATGATGTATATGTTATCTGCCGGCTGAATGCTTAAAAAAATGAGATTATCGTGGGTCTATCAAATATAAGGGTTACTACACGGTATCAGTCAAAGCTGTGGAGACATTGGTATTGTTGTATTTTGTAACTTTTTATTGTGGTGGTAGATGCTGTGGGTTGTATATGTTGTCCTATTGTCTTGTTTTTTTTTTTTTAAATTTGGACCTTGAGTCTGTAATAAAGATTGATTGTTGATTGTCATATTTGCATACACAATCTAATTTTAAACATTCATTTAATGATAAGGTTTTTAATGACATAAAAATATATATATACCTGGCCATGTGTTTCCAACCTTTTGACTGCAAAGTTTATATTATAATATAATAATACCGTAGACAAATAACCGGAAATTGTCTATTGACAGTCTATTAACACTCATTCAATAAATAATATAAATGTAAATACATCCATTTTTATTATTACTCTTAATCTCATCAAGTGAGAACACCTCAAGTCAACCTCGCGCTATATAAACACGCGTATTATTATATAACGCGTTATGTATAAGCTGCCTCTTAACTGCTTCGAAACAGCGTTATATCAGTATAGTATCAAATCATACCTGTTCGTCTGCATTCTCCTCTAAATTTCTTTTCTTATTCTTTAATTTACTCATGGTGCCGCTGTGCGTCGGACGCATGCTGAAACTGCGACCATGTGGGTTTGAATCTATGACGTCAAAGGTCAAACTGCGACGCGTTCGGTTTGTTTTTCTTTTTTTTTTTTATATAAACCGTTTTCAGAATATCATTAGTCTCCATTTACTTACAATATGTCGTTTCTAAAAATATAATACTTTCGAATTGAGTGCGTTTTATTAAAACTGCTTCTGAGGCAAAAGTTTAAAGTTCAACGTTGAACTAGTGCACATTTAAACCTTCGAGTTGTACAAATTAATTATTTTAAACATCTAAACAAATAAAATTAAGATTGTATGTGTATTTATTTACGTGTTTAGTGTGTACGCTCTTTAAAAAAAGTGCATGATGTTTTTAAACACGCGTCGCGGTGGCGTCATCAGAGCGCGACTGTTCTCAGCGCTGTTTGTTTCTACGCAGTTTCAACGCTGTGCGGATTTAATGGAAATTTCCACTACTTCCGACTTATCAAAAACACGTATTCAAATTAATTGAATCTTATATATCGCTCTCTAAACGGGATCCGGACACTCCGAGGGGAAAAGAGAATCAGATTCGTATCTGCGTTCGTACAGCCACACTTTGAGTGTGTAATTCTGCTCTTCAGCAGTGACTCATTACAGAGGTGTAAATATCGTCAGGAACAATCACTAAACTATCTATGATGGAGTATCACAGCGTGGGGCCCGGGGGTGTGATGGTCTCGGGTAATAATGTACCTGCGTTTCTGACCAAACTCTGGACGCTGGTGGAAGATCCGGACACAGACCCGCTGATCTGCTGGAGTCCTGTGAGTTTAGAGTCTGATCGGGGGTTTGAGGAAGGGAAGGGTTACAGACCTGGATCAGAGTTAGATTCATCTGTGATGAGCTATCCTAGGCCTGAACCAGCACGTCCTAAAAAAAAAACCCTCTGATTTGGAGGCACAGGAACCTGAATTTACTGTAGTTTTTACCTTGTGTTAGAAGTGGGCCTGTTGATATTTGGGGTAAAAAGAGGCCTGAGATACTTAACAGATTTGCCTTATTAGTTTAGATTCAGTCGTCATGAGTCAGATTAGACTTAAACCAGAGACACGAAATAAACTCTGCTAAGAACGTGTAAAGTATTGAATTAATAGTATTCGTCACTTGTCTAAATCTGGAGTTTTATAAGTGGATTTGCCTGATGCTTGGGTTTGGTTTAGCTTACCATCAGGGAAGGCTACAGATCTGTTTCAGAATGAGCTGAAGCTGTTTTGAATCTTTGGGCATCTTGTAAGTCAAGTCTGCTTTATTGTCAATTCTTCCACATGTACAGCACATACACACAGAGAATTGAAATTGCGTTACTCTCAGACCCTTGGTGCATACAGATAACACTAACAGTCGAACATAAATACAGATAGATACAGATTAAATATAAAATACAACTATACAAATAAGGTAAAATGTAAAAAAATATATAAAGCAGCACATGGCAGATAGAGTGCAAACCAGTGAAGTAAACACCAGTGCAGATATAATGATTTGTAGTGCAAAAGAGCTTATTCAGACTGATTAAAGTGACAGTGTGTGTGTGTATTTGGGAGGGGGGAGTGGGAGAGTCCGTCAGAGTTCAGTGGTTCGGTCTGTTGTTGTTGTTGTGTTTGTTCACTAAACTTTCTGTTTTAATCATTTCTGATGTGTTTTCAGAGTGGCAACAGCTTCCATGTGTTTGACCAGGGCAGGTTTTCCAAAGAGGTTCTGCCGAAATATTTTAAGCACAATAATATGGCCAGTTTTGTTCGCCAGCTTAATATGTGTAAGTATAAGAGAATTCTAACAGATATGGAATAAACCTAATTGACCAACTCGGATGATGTCTGCATGTTTAAATCCCACTCTAGACATATTTGTTTGCTGAGCACTTCACTAATTATAAAGATAACTTAATCTCTTTCTCTAATATGATATATTTTTTTCTATTTTATGTGTTTAACTGTATTTTATTTTAATTTAATAATTAATAATAAAATTAATTTATGAATTACAATAAATTAATAATAATTGTTTTAAACTGTACAGCACTCCATGTTTTTTTTTTTAAGTGCTTTGAAAATAAATTCTGATTTTGATTTGATTAAGCACAATATGCATGATGTTTTATGCACAATAATTCGTTTTACGTCATGAACGTTTAGAATAAATGTTAAGGTTATAAAAGATTTTGCTTTGCCTTTTGTTGGGAAATACAAAACTGTGGATGAAAATCAATATTTTAAGTTAAGTCAGTTTATTTCTATAGATTTTTCCACAAAACACCTTGTTTCAAAAGCAGTGTTTCATTGTGTCATTCCCAAATTGTCCACATTTAACAGTTTAGATATGAAGAGGTCATTTGCAAAAACCGATAAACGCCACTTTTAAAAAAAAAATGAGCTGATTGCCGTGCATTATTCTCCACATATAGCGCGATCTGAACCTTACACACGTTTTGTCAAAAAAGCCGGTTTTGTCCACTTTCAAGGCATCGCGAGTTCACGTTTTACTGCAGAAGCCGACAAGCGTCCTTGTTGTTTTTGAACAGAAGCCGATAAGTCCATTTTAGCGAATCAGCGCGCTGTATTCAGGTCAGGTGACAAGGCTACTTTCACTTTGAAAAGACGTGCTAGCTGAGAGGAGTTTCGTCAAAGCTGACTAAAAGTGATCGAGGATGGATAATTTCG